TGTGTTAGCCTGTGATGGATAACAAAAATGGGGAGTTGGTCCCTTCAAATACAGAGATAAACAATCTTAGATAATCGACATTTGTGTTGACTGGCCACAGAGTAGGAAATCAAGAATCTGAATTAAAAAAAAACTGAACTTGCCATAAAAACAAAAAACTGTAGTTTCTCTAGTTCAACCAAAATAGAAGATCTGTGTAAAATGATATGGCCCTGACTAACAGTACTGTTATTTTCCAGTTTTAAGATGTACAGCCTGAAAGAAAAGGCATGAGTAATCCTTGGTGTGCTATAATACAAATCCCTGGTCTCTGGAGCACATGGCCATAAAGCCTTTTCAACTTTTTAACATGATTTTTTTGGGGGAATTACAATTACATTATTTCCATCATCTCTTATCATCATATGGTGATCAAGACATCCACAGAGCCCGACTTTGCTTCCCAGCACCCACAAGACAGCTCACAACTATCTTTAACTCCAGATACAGGGGTTAAGACACCCTTTTCTGGCTGGGCGGTGGTGGTGAACACCTTTAATCTCAGCACTCGGGAGTCAGAGACAGGCAGATCTCTGTGAGTTCGAGACCAGCCTGGTCTACAAGATTGAGTTCCAGGATAGCCTCCAAAGCCACAGGGAAGCCCTGTCTCAAAAAACCAAAAAAAAAAAAAAAAAGACACCCTTTTCTGGCCTCCACTCCTACCTGGCATGAACTTGGTATACTCACTGACAAACTGGGTTCATCAGAATTGGCTGCAACCAACTTTACCATCAGAGAAAATTCTCTGGCATTCATTTGTGGTTCTGAGAAAGTGTTTTGTTACAAACAAGTGTTTAGTTCCCAGAATAACACATCCCATCAGAAAGGAAAAAGCAGAGAGAGAGAGAGAGAGAGAGAGAGAGAGAGAGAGAGAGAAATAGTGTATCATTTTTATTTGCAAATATGATTATTCAAATTGTCCTGTTTTCTTCTGTCCTTTGGTGAAACATGTTTACAATCTGAAAGGAAGGCAATATTTTTCTTCTGTAGTGTCGCAGCTACTCAGTAAGACAGCTTAGTGGGAAATGTCTGCGGTGAGCAAGGTTGGTAACCTAATCTTGATCACCATATGCAGATAGCCAAAAGTGGCCTCCACAATGTGTTACAGTCTCCACATACCCATTGTGGCCTAAAAGCCTATAATCACATTACACACACAGACAACACAATTTCTTTTCAAATGAATCTCATTGATGTAACAGTATCTGGCATTTCTGGATAATTCCCTCGGGAGGCATTACTTAGAAATGAATTGCCACATGGATAACTAATGGGGAAAGGAAGATGCATGGAACTTCAAATATATATATACATATCCATAGGATATCAAGCTATGCTGTGGAATATACAGTTGATAACTGATTATTCTACATTACTACATCTCTAACAGTTAAATGAAAAGGTTTGGATATACACATGAGGTATTTAATGTTTGTTGGGACCCTACTGGGTGACCTAAGGTTCCCTTGGTGCCTCACTTCCTTGTTCCCTCCTTCCACCTAGGCCTGTATGCAAGTATGCAAACTATCCGCCCATTTCTCAAGGGGGGAAGGGAGGGTTTGGGGACATGGATGTTGACCTCAGTAAATTTCCACTGTGGCTGCTGTTGGTATATATGTCTTCTCCCCTTGGAAAATAAATGACATTCTCCTTGCAAGAATGACTCACTGTATTTATTCAATCCTCAGATTCCTTTGCCCAAACCTGTGAAATGTTGCAACGCTGATCATTACAAATGTTTCTTACATTTTATATTAAGTATTTTAACATTAACTTTATTAAAATGTGTTGACAAAACATCAAATGTTGGGGTATATGATCTAGCCTAGGACTTATACTACTCAAGAGGCTGACACAGGAGGATGATGAGTTCAAATGCATCCCTAACTAATTACTGGCATATAAGCCAGGCTGGATAACAAACACCTCAAGGGAATTTGTGAAAATATGAAAAACAAAATGAGGAACAACAACCCACCACCCTTTCACAAAGACACACCCTTACTTGAAAAGCATAACCACACACTACCTGATATTTAAATAAACAACACACCACTTAGACTATGGTCATTTCACTCCACATATTTTGGTAGAAAAAATACCTATCACTAACTGAAGCGCAGTAGAAGTTGTAAAAAAGCCACAGAAGAAATATAAAGACCACAAAATAAACTCCATTAAACGGATTTGCCAAGCATATAGCACACTTTAATATCTACCTCAAATGTTGCAAAATTGAAACCACAATATAGTAATGCCCACCATCAGTCTTGAATGAACATTGTAAATAACTTCCTTCATAATTAAAAAGACATGAAACAATTTTTTATTGAAACTAAAGACAAGTATGATATCTAAAGTCTTTACCAATTTTTTGTTTTGTTTTGTTTTGTTTTTGAGACAGCGTTTCTCTGTGGCTTCAGAGGCTATCCTGGAACTTGCTCTGTGAACCAGGCTGGCCTCAAACTCACAGAGATCCACCTGCCTCTGCCTCCCGGGTGCTGGGATTAAACTCGTGTGTCACCAATGCCTGCCCAACTTTTTTTTACATGAATAGGGTTTTCACTTCCATGAGTTCTTCCTTATTATCTGATATCAAGATGATAAAAAAAAAGGATTTAAAATATGTACAGGTTACAGATATGGATGAGCAAAATTATGTCAAGTCCATTGCCAGGACCTAGGTCAGGTTTTTGACAACTTTCTGTAGTTCCTACTACAGGAATACTCAAGGGTCTAATCTTGGGAACAAGCATGAACAGTCACAAAGCCACACATTGACATCACATAATTAAAATTCAATCAAATCTTTAACCAAACAGATTTCCATACCTGAATATTTTCTCTTGTAAGCAGTCATCCCTGTGACACAGTTGTTGAGGCATTTAAAGTCTTAACAGTTTCCTTTCAACATGAATTGGTTCATGGAACAGAAAGCAAGAATGTAGGATTGGATTTAGAGAAATCAATCAATCTGAATGAGGTTTTTTATATAATTGAAGTGTGAAATCAAAAAGGGGTACCTAACCAGTGAATTCATAGGACTTTTGTCAATATGAGTTTGCAGGTGCAAACAAAATAGACACGTCATAATGCTTAAACAGATGGTTGACACTTGTCAGATTGTTTTCTCTCCAGAATCTTATGTAACTAAATGTGTGTTAGCTGAAGATGTTATCAAATACTTTATAGTAAGATTCCCTTCAGTATGAATTTTCTCGGTCCTTAAAGATTATTGTGATGTGCTTATACTTATAGGTTTTCTCTGCAGTATGATTTTAAAGACTGATGATAAATACAAAGGCTTTACCACATTGATTACATTCACAGCGTCTCTCTCAAGTATGTGTTCTTTTATGTTTTACAAGATTGGATTGTTGTGAAAAAGATTTACCACATTGAGTACATTCATAGGGTCTCTCTCCTGTATGAGTTCTTTTATGACTTATGAGACTGGCACGTTGTGAAAAAGCTTTACCACATTGGTTACATTCATAGGGTTTCTCTCCAGTATGTGTTCTTTTATGTGCTTGGAGACTACTGACACATGGAAAGGCTTTAGCACACTGAAAACATACATAGGGTCTCTCTCCAGTATGTGTTCTTATATGTCTTTTAAGGTCACCAAGACTTGCAAAAGCTTTACCACACTGAATACATTCGTAGGGTCTCTCTCCAGTATGTATTCTTTTATGTCCTTGAAGGTTACCATGACTTGCAAATGCTTTACCACATTGATTACATTCATAGTTTTTCTCTCCAGTATGTGTTTTTACATGCCTTTTAAGATTACTATGACTAGCAAAAGATTTACTACATTGATTACATTCATAGGGTTTCTCTCCAGTATGTGTTCTTTGATGTACTTGCAAAGTACTGTGTCGTGAAAAGGCATTCCCACACTGATTACATACATGGGGTTTTACTCCTGTATGTGTTCTTAAATGTCTTTGAAGCTCACTATGACTTGCAAAAACTTTAACACACTGATTACATTCATGGTTTTTCTCGCCAGTATGTGTTCCTTTATGGAGCTGGAGACAAGTGTGGCATGCAAAGACTTCACCATCTCGAATACTTTCATATGGTTTCTCTCCAGTATAAATTTTTTCATGCCTTTGAAGATGCCTGTAACACACAAAGTTTTTAACACATTGTGTATATCCACAGGTTTCTCACTTGTATGTCTTCTTTCATTCCTGGAAAGATAACTGGCACATGTAAAAGATTTACCACAGGCATTATACTGATGAAACTTAATATCTGTATAAATTATTTTCATAATATGACCTAATTATAAAGAGGAATAAGATCTTAAGTTTTACATTCATGATGCTTCCCTTCATGAGGTGTTGTTTTGTGGCTTAGAAGATACCTGTGATAGTAAGAGCCTTTATTTCATGGCCTACATTTATGGCATTTTCTTTTATATGAGATTTTTCACATATTTGAAAAGTACTGGAGGAACTCATAGATTTGCTATACTTACTGTATTCATAAGTTTTCCTATAACGTGATTCATACTACACTGGCAGAATGTACAAGGATAAATGAAAGTATTCATACAATCCAATGTTCATAGGGCTTTTCTGCAGTGTGAATTTGTTGATAACTTTCCAATGAAGTTGGAAAACCAATTACTTTTAAACTTGTATAACATTCAACAATTCTACTCAAAGTGGGGACTACTAAATATCTTTCATATCTTCTAATTGTTCTGAGAAAGAGAAAGAGAGATGTGTGTGTGTGTGAGAGAGAGATGTATATTGCTTCTTTCCATATTCTATATTCACATGGCTTGTATTTATAGTTACTTATGATATTCTTTTTTCTTGAATTTTGGAGACAGATTTCTTTGTGTGGCATTGGAGACTGTCCTGGAACTCACTCTGTAGACCAGTCTGGCCTCCAACGCACAGGGATCCACCTGCCTCTGACTTCCCAGTGCTGAGATTAAAGGAATACACCACCACTGCGCTGTTTTACATGATATACTTATTGAAGGAAGAATAACAAATAAAAGGTTTCCACATTGCATTCACACAGTTTGACTTTCTTTTCCGCACAGACATGTGGTATAGGGAATTAAGGTTTCACCACAACAACCTTCTTGACTCTCATAAACTGACCTTTTAATATACTTAGCAAAGTCACAAATATATGAGTAATGACAGCTTCACTATAGACTCTTTTTTCTTAGAAGGTCTTGGACATATACATGTCACCTATTCAATGTGTGTATCATTGAGAGGTATAAAACTAGATGGATTAACTATCTACAGTATAACTCTCATGGGGATATATTACAAATGGTGGTATCTGTTAAGGCATTGTTTCCTTGTCTTGTTTTTCACAGGAATGCCTTGAAAACACAGAATGGCTATCTGACTTTGAGGTACCTGATTTTGTGAAAAATTAAGAATTATCAATGTACTTTAAGCTGTGCTTATTTACACTGTTGCTTTTCTTTAAAACTTCCAGGACACATTAAAATTTCTTCAGAGGTAAATTTGTACCTCTGTATAAACTTGTACATGAAAATTACCTTCTATGTCTTCTAGAAATTTGACAATGTTCTTCAATATGATGATCTTCCCAACTGTAGCCTAAAATACAATACCAGAAAATAGATGATGGAAATTGTACAATTTTAAGTTAATATCTTCAACAAACATTAGAACTATGCCTTATTAACCTAATTTTCCCTTTCTCGATCAAAATCATAGAAGAATATCAATAACCAAGAAACACTTGTCCCCGTCTTTTCAATTATGAAGGAAAATTCAGTCTTACCTATAGCAATTAGGTTCCTGTAGGTCTCCAGCATCACATCTTTGTAGAGCCTTTTCTGGGATGGATTCAGCAAAGCCCACTCTTCCTGATGGAAGCTGATGTGCACATCATCACAAGTCACCACATTCTAAAATAATTCACACATGTGGAAAACACTGTGATATTCACATTGTAAATATATGCTTCTTTGACTATATAGTCATATTATTCTGGTGCTTCAAACTCTTATTTCATGTCAGGGACATTGTAATGTATTTACTCAGTCACTTTAGAAGAAAACTGAACAGGAAGCACACATGTACCATTTCTTGGCACTTTAAGTAGCATATAGCCTTGAGAAAAAAAATCCCAATGAACAGACATAAAGGAAGAGGCAAGCTAGCAGATTAACACTACTGAGAACACATCAGAGATATTGTATGATAGGGCCAGCCTATCACAGCCAGACCCCAGTCCTTGGTACCAACTTCTGTCTTTGTTAGGTTTTTATTGTTGTGAAGAGACACCATGAACTATGGCATCTCTTACAAAAAGACATTTAATTGAGGTGTCTCCCTTAATATTTCAGAGGTTCAGTTATCATCATCATGGCAGCATGCAGGCAGATGTGGTGCTGCAGGTTAGAGTTCTTACATCTTGACTCAGTGGCAACAGGGTGTTGACTGACACACTGGGCAGCATCCTGAGTATAAGAAACCTCAATGTCTGACCCAACAGTGACATACTTCCTCCAACAAGGAAAAGCCCGCCCCTACAAAGCCACACCTGAGTGACAGCTGGGGAACCATCATGGGACCAGACTAGACCTCTGAATGTGAATGATAGTTATGTGACTTCAACTGTTGGGGACCCCTGGCAGTGAATCCAAGATGCATGAACTGGATTCTTGGAGCCCACTTCCTACAGTGGAATACCTTGCTCAGTTTTGATACAGGATGGAGTGGCTTGATCCTTCCTCAACTTGGTATGCCAGACTTTGTTGACTCCTGAAAGAAGGCCTTACTCCCTCTGAGGAGTGGATGGGGGATGGAAAGGGAGAGGTAGGGGGCAGGAGATGGGGAGAGAGGGGAACTGGAGTGGGTATATAAAATGAAAACTAAATTTTAAAAATAAATTTGAAAATAATCAGTGCATGATTTGTATTATGTACCCAAAATGACTGGTTTTGCTGTCATTGCTTTATAAGTAACAAGAATTCTAAAAACAAGTTTTGCCAAGGTTTTGTGTATACGGTTTATGTGTGAGAGAGGTTTTCCATGTGTTTATATGTGACATACCAGAAACCCAAAGCAAACCTATGATGCACACTTGACACTGATATTACAAATAGCACAGGTTCCCACAGCTTGCACAGATATTACACAATGGAAGGGTGCCCAGGATATTAAAAAATAAAGAGAGATTCTTAGGATACAAAAGAAGCTGTTTGTGGTGGGTGTTGATAGCACATGCCTTTAATCCCAGCACTTTGGAGGCAGAGCCAGTGGGATCTCTGTTTTTTTGTTTTGTTTTGTTTTTTGAGACAGCTTTCATCTGTGTAGCCCTGCATCACATTCTGTAGACCATAGTCCTCAAACTCAGAAAATCCAACTGCTTCTGCCTCTTGAGGGCTGGGAGAAAAGATGCGCTCCAACACCAAGCCAGTAAAGGTGGATTTCATCACCTCTACAGATCTAGATTAAAGGTATGTGTTCCCATTTTAAAACCTTTAATAAGAAAATGCCTGCTGGGCGGTGATGACACACACCTTTAATCCCAGCACTCGAGAGACAGAGGCAGATGGATCTCTTTGTGTTCAAGGCTAGCCTGGTCTACAAATTGAATTCTAGGACTGGCTCAAAAACCTCTCAAAACAAACAACAAACAAATAAACAAAAACTGCCCCGCCTCATTGAGTTTTTGGTAATTTGACTACCTAGAATAGCCATCACAACAAACAAGACAGAAAAAATGAGAAAGATTTCATACCTCGGATGACAAGGAGACCATGGGTGTACTTTCCAAAGAAATTCTTTTCCTAAACAAGGAAAGCGTGGGGATTTTACTTAGGGAGTCCAGAAATGTTCCTGTGGCATTCTCCCTATTCCAAAGCATAGTCAGTCAACAAATCCACTTCTGTACATGATCACAGTGTAAATGCAGAAATACAAACATTCTTATCTCAGGGGTCACCAAAACAAAAGGAACTGTATTGAAGGGTCACAGACTTAGGAAAGTGAAGAACCACTGATCTAGAGGCTACCAAGTATGACTACATGGTGCTGGAGGGTGCTAGCAGTCTCTTACCCACTTGGAAAAACTGAGTCCAAGAGGTACAAATCTAAGAGCTTCTTGCTAAGAAGCAGAAAGGCTAGATCCAGAGCTGTATGAAACTAAGTGGATTGGCATTTCTATAGCATATTTCTCATGGGTCTATAGTGCAAATGGTAGTATCTGTTAAGGCATTGTTTCCTTGTCTTCTTTTTCCCAGGAATGCCTTGTAAACACAGAATAGCTGCCTGACACTGAGGTACATGTTTTGTGCAAAATTAAGAATTACCAATATACTTTAAGCTGTGCTTATTTACACCGTTGCTTGTCTCTAAAACTTCCAGTAGACATTAAAATTTCTTCAGGGGCAAATTTGCATAAACTTGCACATGAATATTACCTTCCATGTCTTCCAGAACTTTGACAATGTTCTCCAATATGATGGCCTTTCCAACTGTAGCCTACTATACAATACCAGAAAATATAGGATATATGACTGGAAATTGCACAAAATTAGTTAATATCTTCAAAAAACCTTAGAACTATGCCTTATTCACCTAATTTTCCCTTTTCTCCATCAAAATTACAGAAGAGTATCAATAACCAAGAAACAGTCATCCTGTTATTTTAAGTCATGAAGGAAAATTCAGGCTTACCTATGGAGATGAGGTTGTTGTAGGTGTGAAGCATCACATCTTTGTAGAGATTCTTCTGGGAAGGATTCAGCAAAGCCCACTCTTTCTGAGTGAAGTTGATGTGCACATCATCACAGGTCACTGCACCCTAAAATAACCCATGCATGTTTAAATCACAAAGTGTGATAATCACATTGCAAACGTATACTTCTTTGACAATATATTCATATAATTCTGGAGCTTCCCACACATATTTCATGACATGAACCCTGTCTCAAAAAAACCAAAAGGAAAAAGAAAAAAAGAAAAAAAAAAGACCCAGGATAGCCAAAACAACCCTGTACAATAAAGGAACGTCTGGAGGCATCACCATCCCTGACTTCAAGCTCGATTATAGAACTATAGTCCTGAAAACAGCTTGGTATTGGCAAAAATGGACAAGCAGAACAATGTAATCAAATTGAAAGCCCTGATATTAACCCACAAACCTACGAACATCTGATTTTTGACAAAGAAGCTAAAATTATACAATGGAAAAAGAAAGCATTTTCAACAAATGGTGCTGGCATGTGGAAGACTGCAGATAGATCCATGTCTATCGCCATGCCCATAACTTAATTCCAAATGGATCAAAGACCTCAACATAAATCCAGCCACACTGAACCTCTTAGAAGAGAAAGCAGATGGTACCCTCGAATGAATTGATACAGGAGACCACTTTGTGAACATAACACCAGTAGCACAGACACTGAGATTGTCAATTAATAAATGAGACCTCCTGAAACTGAGACACTTCTGTAAGGCAAAGGACACAGTCAACAAGACAAAATGGCAGCCTACAGAATGGGAAAAGATCTTCACCAACCTCACATCTGATAGAGGGCTGATCTCCAAAATATACGAAGAACTCAAGAAGCTACACCAAACAATCCAATTAAAAAGTGGGGTGCACAGTCACAAAAAGACAAACATGGTATATACTCACTCATATATGGATGAGGAGGGGAGAGGAGCAGGTGGAGGGGCATGAAGGTTGAGTTGGGGGGAGGATAGAGCAGAGCAGGATGAGAGATAGCAGAGGAGAGATCTACAAGGACGACACCACCTGACAGTCCAGGCAGTGGCAGAGAGAGCAACCCAAACATTTTCCCCTATGATGAGACTGATGACTACTCTTTATGCATCCTAGAGCCCTCACCCAGGGGCTGATGGGAGCAGAGGCTGACACCACAGACACACACTGAGCTGAACTCTGGAGCCCAGTTGCAGAGAGGGAGGAGTGAAGAGCAAAGAGGTCAGGACCAGGCTGGTGAAACCCAGGGAAACAGCGGACCTGGACCAGGGGGGGCGTGGGTGTGGGAGATGAGTGTGAGGGGGGAGTGTGGGGAGTGGGTGTGAGGTGTGAGTGTGAGTGGTGGGTGTGAGGAATGGGTGTGGGGTGTGTGTGTGAGGGGCGAGTGTAAGGTGTGAGTGTGAGGAATGGGTTGAGTGGCAGGTGTGAGGTGTGAATGTGAGGGGTAGGTGTGAGCGGTGGGTGTGAGCAGTGGGTGTGAGCAGTGGGTGTGAGCGGTGGGTGTGGGGGATGAGTGTGAGGGGCGGGTGTGAGGGGATGAGTGTGAGGAATGGGTGTGAGGGTAGGGTGTGAGGGGAGGGTTGAGGGGGGAGTGTGAGCGGTGGGTGTGAGCAGTGGGTGTGAGCGGTGGGTGTGGGGGGTGAATGTGAGGGGGGGGGGTGGGGGGGTGAGT